GGGGTAGCTGTGACCAACCACGAGTGGAAATAGTGTTTGGTCACCGGTCATCATGGAAACACAGCTGATATTTGCACACTCAAGCCTTACTTCTGCATTTCCCAGCAGTCTTTAGAGAAGTGGTAGTAAACAGCCCAAAATGTGTTTCCATGTGTAGTAAATATCGCGACGCTGTCTGACACTGAAAGTCACGTGAGGGGAATCTCCCGCTGGGAAATATCAGATTCAGTTTACCTCGAAGTTGATGTGGCCGTTCTGCAGCCTGTTGGCACATCCCTCGTTGAGGAAGTAGATGTCTTTTATGAGCAGGCTGAAGAAAGGGATGACAATCTGCAGGGCAACGGAAACACAAAGGGATTTAACATCAGCGAGCAGATATAAGGGGGATTTCCTCATGACTCGCAGGTGCGTGCTCTTTTCTAAACAGCGATTCGAAAAGGATTACGGTTCACAAAGAGGATCTCTGCTTCACGGGAGAAACACACAGGAAAACTCGCAAATTTTCCATCTACAGAAGTCTGTAGCAGGGTGTAAAAATACAACCTGTAGCTAAAAAAACAGAAAAATGGGGGAAGTGAGTCTGAGGTAAAGAGGTCAGTTTTCCAGAGAAGAAGAATTCCCCTTAAAAGCCACTTAAATAATTCATTGCCATAACTTTAATGATTTAGGTCACCACACACACGCTGATGTGGAGGAAATAAGGAAGAAGCACCAGCAGGTTGTAAGCTGGTGGGTTATTCAGAGGATTCAACTTTGTGGCTCACATTTATCATCTGATACGGCTCATAAGCAAAACATGTTTCATACTGACGGCTGCTGTAAAGTGGCACACTGACCTATAAAACTCCTCAGTCTGCCACCTCTCTCCTCACTGTCCCCACCCAACATTAAACATTCATGCAGCTTTCAAAGGAGCAACCGAAGGAAAAGCAACACACCGAGCTCTTCTTCAAACCTACATTTGTGTTGCACTTTCTATTATTCATGCAAAGTCACCGTGTCAGACGTTGTACTTGTACAAGCCGCCCACACCCTTTGTTTTT